TAGAGCGTTTGCTCTAGCGTCGCAGAGTAAGGAGTTGATCCTTACGTCACGGGTTTAATCCACTGCGGGACGAGGAGATCGGTCCTTCAGATAAGACCGTATAAACCGAGGTCCCGTGTCGTAGTAGGTGCTGGCATGAAAAAGATCCCTCACTGCTCAAAGGCAATAAGTGCCTAGTACAGGTCTTAATTTGCAGCCCTCCACCGGCAAGTGGTGGCGTCTCAATACGAGTGAAAAATTCTCGAAGAGACGTTAAAGAAACATACAAACATATTCTGACAAAAAGCTAGGTTGCATTTTGAGGGTCCTTAATTAGTGAATATACATAAACATTGAGCGGCCACTTTCTACAGAAACCCATTAATCATATACCAAAAATATTTCTGAATTCGATATAACGAATTGTTGATTTTGTTAAAACGAATTATATTCGTTCCAACAATTTTTTGAATCAATTAAAACAAATTAAATTTGTTAAAAGAGATTTGTTTAATTCGTTATAACGATTTCAAAAATTGTCAAAACAGATTGAATTCATTTAAACGAGTTCTTAAATTTGTTATATAGAATTAAATTCATTGAATCGATTTTGATTTCGACATTTAGGGCCTATTAAAAATATTTATGAATTCGTTTAATTTGTTATTATAATGTAAAATTTGAATAAAACTAATTAAATTCTTTATAATAACTTTTTTTAATTCGTTATAACGAATTCAACAAATTTGTTGTAAGAGATTAAATTCGTTATTAACGAATTCAACAAAATTTATAAAACGAATTAAATTCGTTTTAACAATTTTTTGACAGTTTGATTCGTTATATCGGAAACAAAAATATTTTTGATAGGTCCTAAATGGCTTCCGAGATTTTCAGCATATGCCAACTTTTCAATTGAAGCATTTATTTCATTTTATCATAACTTTTTTTTTAGTTTAAGCAACTTTATGTAGCGTTTATGGATGCAGTCTTACTGCCATGTAGGCAAGTACACTGTATAAAATAGTGATCTTGTCTGCACACTTGAATAAAAGTGTGTAAAGGAGTTTATGTTAATTAATATGATTTGGCTCATCTGATGAAATAATTTGCTTCCAATGAATGTGTGATACCCACTGGCTGATTCTGAAATTTACTGCATTCTCCATCATAACACTCTTATAGGATATGAATATACCCCAGTACAATATTATACAATCATTGCTGTTTTTGAGGTCAATACAATGATTTAGCCACCTGAGGAGTACAATATTCACCGAGACCGAAGAGGTCATGCACTGTACCAGGGTATATAGGATCGATTTTGAAAAGAGAGGGAGCATTAAACAAACAAAAAAATTACCTGAAAATTTTTTTTACTATCCCTCTCCAAAAAGAAGAAAATTTTCCAAACTAAAAATTTTTTATTTCTGTGAGGAAGTGGGGGTTAAGGTCCATTGGGGGGGGGGCAGCCTTTCAATACACATGCATTTTTATTCTAAATTTAAAGTTAAAATTAACATTAAAAAATATTGCACCCCACCACACCCCACATCGTTCTACGAATGTTATTTTTATCTGAGTGGAAGTTGGGTGCAAGTTAGCTGCAGAACTATAGCTCTCTGCAGCTAGGTGCAAGTGAAATACTGTAAAAGCTGAAATATTCGTTGGGGATTAAATTTCGTTAATTTTGTTGTTAACAATTATCAACGAAATTAAATCCCACACGAATTTTTTATATGACTATATATTGAGTAGGGTAACTTTTGAAAAAACGAAATTTAATGCCGACAAAACCTTTTTAGATGACAAATCAACGAAATTTTATCCCCACGAAAATTTGTGCTTCTACAGTAGTTTTTTCCAAAACTCTCTATATCAATTTGGAATTCCCAAATCTATTTTTAGTCCAATGTGGAAACAATTCAATCCTTATGTTCACCTGGAAGGTCACGTGCAGGTTAACGTAACGTAGTATTTCGACCAATGTTGGTTCTCAGCCATTCAGAGAGATAGGAATTAATTATTCAATCATATAATAAACATCATTGATGCTTGGATCTACAAGAAGTTGTACAATGTCTGATATATATAGGACCGATATGTTATAATGTAAGAAATTAAACTTTTTTTTAAAAAAATTTCAAATAAAGTGTAAAAACAAAATTTTCTTTTGGATAAAGTGTTTTCCGTATGACATTCCCTTTGGCGGCTATATTTGATGTCAAAATGGTAAAGTTTTCCTCTTTAATTAGCCAAATTTCAACATTTTTTGCAAGAATATTTGGGAAAGATGTCAGCGAAGCACGCGGATCCAAATTTAAAAAAAAAATAATGAAAGAAATAAAATTAAGATAAAATGGCGAAATGTACCATAGGTCGCAGTTTTTGTTTTGTTTTGTTGTTTTTTTTATATAGAAGAAGGAGAAAGTTTGTATGCTTAAACCATGCAGGTAAATGTAGTATTAGTTCAAAGTGAACAAGAAAAAATGAATCAGTAAAGGTTCTTGACTCTGAAGGATAAAGATGAAAAAATCTTTCGAAAAATATTTTCTTAAAATTATTCCTTTTTTGAAAGCATGGAGCAATTTCGATAGCTTCGAATTCCGCGTGGAGCTACATTAAAAGTTTTCACCTTATCAAATTAAACATGAGTCAATTCTTTTATTTCATTTCATCATTTGAAATGTATCTTCCACTTGTAAGGGTTTATATCTACTCTAATTATTATTCTAGAAATAAATTAATATCATAAAAGCTTTGATGTGATACAATATATTTAAGACAGAGTATAAAAGTATTGTTCATATTTAAGAACATCACATTATCGTAGCATATTTTAAAGTTTCCAATACTGATAAATAATTTTTTAAGAAACCAGAAAACATGAGTTGTAATTCCACAACCTTTCCACGGATTATCCTTTGATCCGCCACTGTCATGAATTCATCGTGGGATACTTACTACTACCGGATGTTGACTGTTATTCACTGACCAATTTCCGCCATCTGTAGAGAGTTTCCGGAACCTTTGTCTCGGTATGTTATCAAAATTATATTCTGTACAGGAAAATATTTCACAGGACGGACATCTCTGAGCGGCTATTAATCCTGACATACTTCATGTAAGTATATTTTATCTTTCATCAGATTAAAATTATATATTAATTGTTACTTTTTTGTATTTTCTTGCATATTAATTAGCGTATAAATACACGTAATTTTTTCCTTTCATGTAATGAAAGTAAGATACTACATTATGTTAATATACGATCTAGGAGTGAGAAAAAGAAAAAGTTTACAAAGTTTCTATTAAGGAAATACTAAAACTGCTCAATGAAGAGTTTTAATTCCATGGTAGTTTTATGCTGTAAGAGTGCTCCGTCCATTCACGTGAACAAACGGAAATCTACAGTAAATGACAACATTTGAAATAAATTTATATAATCTTTGAATTGTATTAAATCAAAATAAAGTAAATGAAAAGAAAAAAATATTTGCATGTAGTTTCTAATCTAAGCAGCAATTTCTGTTCACTAATACTTTGATGTCTGAGAACATTTTTACTTGGAGAAATATGGCAGGTACTCAGATAACTTAAAATGCAAACCTTTATATGATACATTTTTTTGTCAAAGTCCAGGAAAACTTTTCCCAAAGAGTGAAGTTTTTCCTTAATAAAAATGAAAAAAATATAACGTACACAATTTCAAATTTATAACAGTTTGTTAAAACGATGGAGACTTTTACCGTTTACAAGTCATATTCTGTATAAATATTGAAAGGGGAACTAGACGTATTAAGATAAGAGGACAAAACTTGCGTTTGATAAATCGTTAAATGAATTTAATTTATTTAATACCTCAAGTTAATCATTTAAAATCCATATATATATATATATATATATATATATATATATATATATATATATATATATATATATATATATATATATATATATATATATAGCTGGGGATCTAAATGGATATGCGATCCCCTTCCTATGCAGTAGGTTTGATTGATTGATTGCATATTGTTTTACGTCCCATTCGAGAATTTTTCACTCATATAGAGACGTCACCATATACCGGTGAAGGGCTTCAAATTTTGACCTTTACTCGGCACTCAGGGCCATTGAGCAGTGAGGGATCTTTATCGTGCCAAAGCCTGCCGAGACACGGGGCCTCGGTTTTTAAGGTCTCATCCGAAGGACCCGCAACTTTCACTTCAAAGTGCCGAGCGCATGGCGAAGGAACAGTTGCTACCTATTTTTTATCGACTTAGGTCTGTCGCGGCCGAGATTCGAACTCACGACCTCCCGATCACGGAGCGAGCGCTCTACCGACTGAGCTACCGTGAACGGTCCTATGCAGTAGGAAATGAACTCCCCAATTTTAAAATTTTTGATTAGGATTTGCCCCCTTCCTTCAACAACACAGAAATTGTTTGCAGTGGTCTTTTCTCTTTATAAACTTTGACTTTGTTTGGATGTTGCGCAATTGGAAGATGTATCCCCTCTCAAAATTTCAGCCATCCTGTCATGGTTTGTAATTACGACACAGGTTTGGCACACTATAAAAAAGAGAGAATAGTGCATCTTTAAGTAGGTATTATTGAGTAATCAATAATGAACGTGTGTCACTTGGTTCTAAAAGTACTTTTCTCTTGGTTTTCAACGAAATTTACCAGACAGCAAGTGAATCCCTTTTTATGAGTCAAACAAACTTAGACAACTTCAAGGTCTTTCGGTACACTAAGCCAATGAATTCCGGATATTATACCCATTAACTATTGTTATAAACGTGATGTGCATCAGTGTTCTTATGTAAGCTAATTCTGTATGATTGTTTGTATACAAAGATTATGTTATGTAATAGAAATCAAAGTAAACAAAACTCGCGTAATAAAGATAATGAATTAAAATACTTGAATATTGCTCTCATTTTTTAACTCTAAGCATATATTTTATTTCAAGTAAAAATAAATGTTTGAGTTTCATTTTATGCTTAATTTTTGTTTTCAGGACGTAAGAAAAGAATGTTCTTACTGCGCAAACTGAGATTGTTCTCACACAGCAAATGTAAGGAACAAAGTCAATCCATCTCTGACCTCAGCAGTTTGGAAAGTCTTCATGATGTTGGTATAAATAACCCGGGTTATAGTCTCAAACGCTCCAAATCAGCAGAAGAACTCAATGATGACGTCATAGAATCTTTGCAGACGGCAAAAAGCCAGTCATTTCATTCTACCGCTAGTGACAGCACAGACGGCAGTCTTGATGATTATCTTCAACCGTGTGTTGACATGCAGAATGAATCGAAATCGATAAAAAAGATTGCGATTGTTAATCCAACTACGCATGTTTTCCCAGAGGAAGAAATCAAGAAAAAAGAACCTGTTGAAGAACGACTTTATGAAAACATTGAAACATGTAAAGTCTCAAAAGCGTCAGATGATACTTCTCAAATTAAAGGAGAAGAAAATGAAGGACCGAGTAGTATCTATCAAAACGTTGAACATCTTGAATTTAAAGTTGAAAACGGCAATCAGGAATCTGAGTATCAAAATGTTGTGTTTCAAACTGAAACTACGTCAGATGTAACGACGGGGAATGCAGAAGCTTGTGAATATGAATTCGCACAAAGTCCTGAAACTGCACATAAAACCGAAAATTCGGAACAAAAAATTAATACTCAGGATGAAAAATTTAGTGAGAAAAAGAAATCAGATGTGAAGCAACGATTGGACAATAGCATGATGGAAAAAGGTCCTCAAGCACAATCGATCGCGGTAATTGTTTCAAGTAATGTTCCGAAAGATCTCAGTAAATCTTCCAAGAAACCAGCTAAAAAACCAAAGCCTGCAAGACCACCACCACCAAAGTTCTCTACAAACTTTACTCCATACAAACACAGATACACAAGTCCAGATCTTTCTGTTCAGCAGGAACGAGCCCACAAACCTCCAGAGAAAAGCATCTCTCTCGACAGCCCTGGTAGGTATTATGTGAACGATCCCAAGTTATCAAGAGACAACAGAGCGAAGTTACTATTTAGAAACGCCAAAAGTGCTTCAGAACAAACAGTGCGTAAGTCTGAGAATATCGATGATTATTTGGATATGTCCAGCAGTCGACCTGGTGATATTAAATTCGAGGACACGGACGATTACATGCCAATGAGTCTAGAGGACAGCTGTCCATTAAATGCAAAATGATAATCACTGTAAATAAAGTGAATAGATTACTAATATTGGAGTAAGACTGAGTGGTTTAAATTCTTGGTATATTTTTGGGTATTGTAGAGAAAATTTGAATCAACTACATATTTTTTTGATACCCACATAACCTTAAGTGCTTTTGGTAAGCCAATGGTTAAATCTTCTTACAATGGGTGATAGTAAGTCACAAAATATGGTATTCTGTTAAATTAAACTTCATGCTGTGTTAATATTCATGTATGTTACGTTTGTTATATACACTAGGTTATACCAAAACACACAAGTTCTACTTCGTGACGAAGAAACTCTAAAGCCTATAGGTGTATCTGGAACTTAATATGTGATGTACACTGAAAACGTTAATTATGTCAAACGTACACATTTAAAACTTTTTCATTTATACTATTTGAAATTCATTTGCAAGTTAAGAGGGTTATTGATGGATCAGTTTGGCTCTCTATCTCTCTCTCTCATGAACACGTGTAATTCAGGATATCGTAACACTTCTATCATATAAATGACTATCAAGGATTTTCCGGTTACTTGTACATGTAGAAGTCACAGATGTTGTAACCTTTAAGAGTATTCACACAAACATTAATCAAGAAGTTGTTTAAGATTGTTTCTGTGATCCTTACTTATTCCTTTTTTTAGTAAATATTTTTTCACGTTTTTATTTTCTTAATGAATGACCATCACTGATTCAGATATTTGTGTTAAAATTGCATGAATTGGCTCTAAACAGTGTACGCAAAATCAGTGTACAATCCAATGAAGTTGTTACCGATGGTATTTTGTGATTTTTATAACTTTTTTGTAGTAATTTTTTGAAATAAAAATGATGCGTATCTCGCGGTAATTTTAGTTTCCTCCATAAGCATGTTTAAGAAAGTAATTGTGTTAAAGATTGATAAATTTGGTTGCATAATTAGAGTTCAATAACGAATATCAATGCGTAGGTTTTTCTTAGGACTTTAACCGGATGGTTAATAAATAAATATCTTACTCACTGTAAGGCTTCAAATTTAAATTTTAAAGTGGTGGAAAATAAAATCATTGTAATGAAATTTATAATGAAATTATAAATAAAACAAGCCACTATTCATTTATTATCTAATAGGTTGCATTTGTGTTCTATTTTGCCTATCTATATTATATAAATATTGTAATTTTATAATGTTCTATTTTTTAATTCTTAAGGCAGAGCATTTAATTATTTCTTAATTAGGGAACATTGGCTTGCTTTGCCTTGCATTATCAATAATCTCCTAGACCCTCGCTGGACGTTATGCACGAAGGAACAAAGACAAATAATCTGTTTTCACACTTCACAATCGTTAGTTGCATTTTCAGTATTATTTAAATATATAAAAATTAATTAAATATTTTTCTTTACTTCAGAATCACGTCCCTAGAATTATTATGGCACTGTGAGTCAAACATCATACCGTAATCATTTAATTGATGTACATGTACTGTTGAATAATTCTAAGGCACTCCCTAAAAGTATCTTACTATTCTAAAGTTTCTTTTCTAACTTCAAAACTTACCAGTAATTCGATCAAGAAAAAAGCAGTGCGAATTTACTTTAAAAGATGGTAAGTAGTTCTATTGTATCGACCAGAATTTCCTATGCTCTTCAGTGCATGTGTAAAATATAAAGTTATATATAGAAATATCAATTTTTAATACTTACAACTGGTTACTAGGGATACAAGTTTATGATGTTACTACTGATACAAGTATATAATATAAGTATTTTTCTTAAATAAGTATCAATTATTTTGTTAAGTTTTGTGTTGTTAAGTGGGGGTCAGGTTGTTTGTTATATACGGTAGTATGTATATTATAATTAGATATAATTAAGAACATTCTAATTGTTTTCAATATTCTTAAGGTTATTTTCTTCAATATATTCCATATATACGATCACACCATTTATGTAACGAATTAGTGAGTCATAAAAATTGTGCGTGGGTGTGTGATTTGTAATTATAATGAATAGTGGTTTAGTTGCGAATCTGATCGCGAAAATACCTCAAATATTAAAGCTTCTGCAACACAGTACAAATTTCAAATGATGGAGAACCCAGAGATTACCTGAGCCGAAAGCTCAAGTGAGCTTTTCTGATCAAAATGTGTCCTGCGTCCGTCCGACCGCCTGTCTGTCGATCATCTGCTACTGCCGTGAGATGTCTGTAAACTTTTACAATTCGACTTCTTCTGAAGAACCAATTTTAACCAAACTTGTCACAAAGCATCCTTGGGTACAGGGAATTTAATTTTGTTCACATTAAGGGCCAAGAACTCTTTCAAGGGGAGATAATCAAGTATTAGTGTAAATTTAATGACATCTTCTTAATAACCACTAGGTCAGAAAAGATGAAACTTGTGTGAAAACTTCATTGCATAGTGTAAATTCAAGGTTGTTCAAATCAATTCCCTCCGGGGTTAGTCGGGGCCACAACAATGAATCAAAGTTTTACATACGAATATATACATTTTGTAAAAGTATTTTTAAAAATCTTCTTCTTAAGTACAACAAGGTCATGATTCGTCAAATTAATACAGAAGCATCCTTTCACAAGAACAGCAAAGCCATGACTAGTTATATTAATGCAAAAGCACACTCAGGTAATGTAGATTTATATTTATTCAAATCATGACCTTTGGAGTACTGTGGTGTCACAACAGGGGATCAAAGTTTAAAATAGGAATATATAATTAAGGTATGTCACTCGTGAAATTTGTTATATCAAGGATTTTTTTAGAAGTATATTTTAGATAAGTACTCATATAGCATGACTCAAAATCGCAAAGAAAATGGGGTGTCAGTGTGCATCTTACTGAGCTACGGTACAATTAAGTTCTTGCACTTAAACTGTAACTCTTTGGTTAATTACTTTAATCTTTATCATATTAAATCAGATGTAATTATGGCAATAAATATAATCTTATTTTACGTAAAATAGTTTGAATAATATTTATGATTGAACAAATCATGCAAATTAATGCGCATAAGTTATTGTGTGACCTTTTTGCACTAAAAAAGTATCATATTTGGGGTATAAAAATCTTATCAATAAAATATTTACTTGTATCAAACTTTTTATGACTTAAGTGCATACAGGTTGGAAGTATCGTGTTGTTTAAAATAATGAAAGAAAATGTTGGGGTCAGTGATGTAAATTTTGAGATATTGGTCAAAATGTGCGATTTTCAGGCAAAAACAGTGTAGATTTTATCTTGACTTCTTTAATATATCTTCATTTCTTGGCAAAGTTTGTTCAGTGAATGAGTAAAATTTGTTCTAAAAATAAAAATTGGGACCTATATTTAATATTCCTACCATATCATAACAGAAAATATTCTCCAAGTAAAAATATGAGGGGCTTAAGGAAGCTCTAAACACTAATGAAACTGCTTTCTGGAATTTGAGAAAAACATATCACATAAAGGTGCACATATTCAGTGTATCTAGTTCATTTTCAACATAGGGTACCGGTCTTATTTTTGCAGAAAAAAATGTTCAAAGACAATGAACTATTTGAGAACAAAAATCACGGTTGTTTACTTGCATCGGGAAAATTAATGGAAATAATGTATTCAATTACTTAATCCTAGTCTAACATATCATTAAGAATACTTTAATTCATAAGAAATTGAGTCACTAGCTGTAGATTCTCATTTATTCTATTTTTCTTCTAAAGGCAGATCACTCTAACTCAATAAAATTACCATACAAATAGAACTCTTTAGTGTGCAGTGTTTAGAGCTTCCTTAAGTTCCAAGATGATAAACTTGACAAATGTGTAGATTTGAAGAATTTTCTTCTAAATATCCTTCCACCACAAGAAAAAGTCCCTCATAAATCTTGCTTCTTTATGAATTTGAAAGTAGTTTTTTAATTGAATGTTGAAGAATTTGCATTGTTTAATTTAAATATGCTATAAAAAATTCAATTGTAATAAATAGTTTTGAAGTTAAAGGTTCTGACTTAACTTTTCTAAAAAGCTGACATTGTTTTAATATCATTTTCTTAAAAGCAGAAAATCTAAGATTATATATAATAATACCGAAACATCCTCAGGTAGTATAGATTCAAGTTTGTACAAATCATGACCCCCTTGGTTAGAGCGGGCCACAATAAGAGATCAAAGATATACATAGGACTATCTAGGAAAAATCTTTAAAAATCAACTTCTCAAGAAAGCAAATCCATTGAAAGTCATATCAATATGGAAGCATCTTTAAGTGGTGTATATTCAAGTTTGTCCCTGAGGTAAAGGGGGGGGCACTTATAAACTTTTCAATACTAAACTGCATAGCATGTCTGCTTTTCTGTGGTAAAAGTTCTGAGGTGAGCGTTGTGCTCCATGGGCCTTTTGGTTTTTTCTCTGATTAGTTAATGATTTACTTTCTTGCGGTCATTTGCAGTTTTAAGACAATTTGTTCATTCAATAGGGTTAATGCAATGTACATATATATAATAGAAAACTAAAGAGAAATAATAAAATTCAGATAAACACATGTTGAAATTTACATGATTACATGAAGAAATATTAAGTACAAATGAAAAAAAAAAGAATTTAATTGAACTATAAATACAGATGCCAAATAACATAATACCAATTAATTAGTCAACTAATGCAATGTTGACATTTTAATAAAAAGTAATTAAATATTTTTGTGACTTAGAGCGAACAATTTTTGAATTTGAAAAATAGCTAAATTTTTTATTAATAGAGAATTATTTTTGCTTTTTATTATTTTTGCAAATCGCAATAGCATAATAATTATATGTTATTTGATGAAGAAAGAATTAATTTTAAGTGAGAGATATTCTTATTAGTTATATGTGATTACATTGAGCAATGAGTCTTCTTTCAATAACAGCAAATTCTCAACTTTTGAATCCAATTGACAGCTCATGCAACAGACGGGGGTAAGCCTTGAAATAAAAATAATAATTTTTTTGAAATTTATTTTTCCTTCATATGTCTGGATTCTCAAAAATCCTAAAAACCTTTTGAAAAATTTGAAATTATATATATTTCCAAAATTATAACATCAAAATATATAAATTTTCAATAATTTATACAATCATTCCTTACGATAAAAGATCAGGCTCCGGGGCCATAAAACTTAGACGAGCTCACTTTTGATCTCAGTCTTACTTTTATAAAAGGAATATATAGTAGAAAAGTGAGCCTGGGATCAAAATTGAGCTTGTCGAAGTTTTATGGCCCCGGAGTCAGGCTTTGATGATCATAGACAGCAACTGCTTGTTCAAAAATGGATCTTGGAATTGTTTCCCTCGTGAATGATCTTTTATACTACAAGTTTTCTGAAGTCGATATTAAAAAGGTACCAGAATTCTCCTATTTACAAAGACTCCAGCAATCTGTTGGAATTTTGATGGACACTGATTATGCTTCTTTAGCAGCATACCCAGTTTTATATTCGTACAAAGCAGGATTTATTCCAAAAAACTACAAAAAAAGAAGATAACTCTTGCTGTGACATTCAAATCGATATTTACAAAGTTTGGGTTGAGGAAGATTTGAATCAAATGGCAAAATAAAATCCCAGTCAATCGAGTTAAAAATTTTAAGCACACAAAGAAATAATAATACTAGCAATTTAAGTTAATTACGTGGGATTTTGTTGTGAATTTGTTTTATTTATTTAATCTATTTAAGAAAAAGAGAGTCCTTGGGCTTTGGCAGTACAATGAGTTCTCTAAAAGTAAGAACAAACTATGAGACTGGAATTCTGCCCTCATGACTTCAATTTTTCAATCTAATGAATACTCATTATCATATTGCATGAAGCCTATCTCCTAGATGTTCAGGAGAAAAGATTTTAATCAAATTTTATATATTAATCGATCAACTTTACCCATCCTTGGATCTGAGCTTTAATTTGGAGACAAAAATTTCATAATTCGGTGAATGGCCCTTAGACGTATTAACATCACGCTTCACATTATAATAATTCTTCAATGCATGACAAACTTAGTACCATTTAACCTATACCCAGAGGAAATGAATCTTATTTTTTATGAAAAGAGTCAATGAGTTATTAATAAATAGATTTTCAAAAGTTATTCTGCACGTTCAACGAATTACTAAATTTTCCTCATCTTTGGGCTACACTCAGAACGTGAGTTATATACTTGTAATTTTGGAAGACAACTAATTGGTAACAGCAATTATTATCATTGTTTTAGTTTGCCTGCTATGTGTCAATAAAACTATTTTTAAAAGTGTAATGCATTTGCAATATGATGTACATATCTATGACATATTTAGCCCCACCCTGTGACCTTAAACCTAGAGCTATGAAAATGCATTTCAAATATAGTTCTGTTTGGAAAAATATCAGACAGTTTGATTTTGTTACAATTTTAATAAAGGGCCAGTTCTTCATAAAATCATGCAAACAGTTAACCTGCATGCTAGATGTCCATAATTGAAGAAGTTTTCAGTGCAATACGTTTTCAACATATCATCAACTTTTGGTCCAACATGGGACCTGAATCCTGATCACAGGGGACAGGATTTTTGCAATTTTGGTAAAGGGCTAGCATCTCATCATTGGCCTCTAAAAAGTTTCCTACTGGATGTTCATAAGAAAAAATATCTATATATATATAGTTCATGTATTTTCAAAATGAAACCAATATAGCCTCGCCCCAAGGCTTTAGCCATGCAACCAAAGGTCATGATTTTCAAAACTTTTGTAGATAATTAGAAGGGAGGTAAATTTCATTTGGATACCCAAGTCGAATAATCAGGGGCTTGAGTCGAGCAATAGTAGAGTACTCGTTAAAAAGTTTTCTCATGTAAGTTTTACCTCATGTCCTTTTCAGACTTACAATAACTATTAAATAGTTATGAAATTTTGTGGAAACAGCATATCCAATCATGAAATCAACTCAAATTAGACAACAAGAGAAATATCAATACTTTTATTTTTTCAGCTGAAGAAAGAACAATTTTTCGATTTCTTAATTTCAAATTAGAATTTTTATAAAACTTAAAATTACTTTTCAGTAGCACAATTTTAACGAGTAACTGAGTAAAAAATATTTAGTCAGTTGTCGGTATGACCAAACGATAGTGGGGTACTCGAACCCTCGTTGACTTCCCCAATAAATATACTGCTCATTGTACTAATGCAGTCAGTTTATATATTGGATGTCTAGAAGCGTCTTTAAAATTGCATTAATGTCAAATTTTTGGGCTTCATCCCTAAGTCCCAAGTGAGGACTGAAACAGTGAAATCTACAAATTCCCTATTTTATTCATATATGCCAACCGTTCACGATAGCTCAGTCGGTAGAGCGCTCGCTCCGTGATCGGGAGGTCGTGAGTTCGAATCTCGGCCGCGACTGACCTAAGTCGATAAAAAATGTCGATAAAAAAATGGGTAGCAACTGTTCCTTCGCCATGCGCTCGGCACTTTGAAGTGAAAGTTGCGACCTTAAAAACCGAGGCCCCGTGTCTCGGCAGGCCTTGTCACCATAAAGATCCCTCACTGCTCAATGACCGTGTGTGCCGAGTAAAGGTCAAAATTTGAAGCCCTTCACCGGTATATGGTGACGTCTCTATATGAGTGAAAATGGGACGTTCAACAGCATACAATCAATCAATCGAATCTCGGCCGCAAATGACTAAATCAATGAAAAATGAGTAACAACTGTTCCCTCGCCATGCGCTCGGCACTTTGAAGTGAAAGTTGCGGGTCCTTCGGATGAGACCTAAAAACCGAGGCCCCGTGTCACGGCAGGCGTTGTCACGATAAAGATCCCTGACTGCTCAATGGCCTATAGTGCCGAGTAAAGGTCAAAAGTCTCTATATGAGTGAAAAATTCTCGAATGGGACGTAAAACAACATACAATCAATCAATCACTTATGCCACACGTGCATACCAACATCGGTTGAATATGCTCAACAATGGGCGACTACAATTCTCTGTCAGAAACTTTAAAGAGGCATATTTGCTATGGAATCGGACTTTTAATTTGTTGGATTTATGCATAACTCAATGCCATTTCTGTCTTCAGTATATATTCTCTTTTTTTAAAATTTGCAAAATAAAATAAAATAGAATAAATGAAATAATGAAATATAATTTTTTAAAAAAGTTAAAAAAAAAAAAGAATTAAAAACCCATGCCATTTCAATTACTCTTCCGCAAACTGGAAAATTATACACTAATGGTTATACATGATTATCCCTTTTTTTATCCAGACCAAACTAACGAAAACCTTCATTCGAATGCAGCAGTTTTTACTTTGCTACTGTCCTTGACCTAAAGTCTTGTCATGATCTTAGCTCAAGGTCATATCTCATAGTTAAAGGTTAACGGACAATAAGAGTGATTTCAGGTAATATGCATGTGGATATTATTTAATAATAGGGCATGCTAAAAGGCGATCCTTTATTGCTAAAAAAATCTTATCGGATAAAAAAAAAAGTTCTGTAGTGGTATTTACATGTACTTTATGATTGCAATTCATTCGGTCATCAATAAACCCACACAATATAATAATAGATCCTTTTTAGCTCAATCGACGTAGATTTCCGAGAAATATGTAAATCACACTCAAACGCATGGTTGTTACACATTTCCGAGAGATCATGGCTGTTACAAATATATACGCCTTGTCCAATGTTTATATCATCATTCAAAATTTTGTGTTGACATAAAGAAAGGTGGAGTCAAAATTACGCAAACTGCTTCAGAAGGTGAGATATTTCTCAAACAATCGATGTACATATGTAAATGAATTATATCTTATGATGATATCATATGATTTTCTGTAAAAAAAAAAATGTATATTTTGTATTGAATTTTTAGAAGATATTTAATAAACTAATTTTGATGACAGTCAAGCAATTCACAGCTTAAATATTTTCAATTTTGGTTTTGTCTACAATAGATGAATGAACTCTCATTTTTGTGATTGGATATGAATAAAAATGTTTTCTCTTCATCATGTTCATGGACTCATAAAAATTTTAAAATTTTTGCGCATGTTTTTACTTTTTATGATTAGACCTGTCTTGTTTTCTCGTCGAGCACTTTATCAACATAAAAAAGCTACAATGTAACAGTATCACACCGCGAGGTGCATCATGGAATTAATGCAGAAATTTCAATCAAATAATTAAAAATTCTATCTTCATTCCCTGTGTAACATACGCAAACACATAATAACCAGATAATGGAGTGTAAATTCTGAAGTGAGAAATTATTCAAATACTGTTACCCCTATACTTTAAAAAAATAAAGGGGTATTCACTTTTAAAATGATTTTTTTTCCATTCTGAATAAAATTATTAATTGAAAATCTGCCGATTTTTTTCTTTCTATGGTTGGTTTTGACTCTCTGGTAAAACAAATATTTATTTACTCAAAGTATTTTCTTATTGAGAATCGCTAGGAATCAATGATATTCATCCCATTTTTAATAAGCTTTACAAAAGATTAAAGTACGAGAAGATCATGTTCCATGGTGACTTTTGTTTTTCTTTCTAGATAACGATAATGGAGGGCATTTACTTCTCCATGTCAAAAATTGTCAATAAAATCACCGTCCCAGTACGTAAAGAAAAGAAATCCAAGTCTATTCCAAATCTGTTAAAACCGCCAGTAGATGGGAGTGGTACATTCCAAAATCGACGAAAATCAGCGTCAGGTACTACAGCAGGAAAAATGGAGAAGGAAACACTTAAAATTGATGGTCGTGACCAAAATCTCCAAAGTTCTAGTCTCGTACATCCACATAACGTTCAGATAGAAAGAGCAATTTCAAGTGATGCATCTTTTAATAGAGATCCTTTATATGAAAATGACCTCCCAAGAATCAAAGATGGGGGTACACATAAGAAAAAGAAAAAAGTCCCACCTAAAAGACCCCCACCCCCAAAGTTCAGTGGAGGTCAATACCAAGTATACGCCAATCTTTTTAGATCTCGTAGTGATTCCGAAGTAACAGGGTCTGTGTATGCTAATTATCAAAATAACGGTGAAAGTGAAAAATTAGAGGACTTGTTCCTATATGAAAATGACATTAGTAATGCAAATAGGAGTGGTAGTGATAAAGATTTGGACTTGTATGAAAATGAACCTTATAAAACAGAAGAACAATCTGGGGAAGACTGGTATATTTTCATGGCTAATGAGATAAAAGTTGATGAAAGTGAGTATGTAGTGATGTCTCCGGATCGAAGCATGACATTTTAAATTCACTAATGGTCTTAAAGTGATAAAATCTTTTGTACAATATTGTTAGCTGACATTTTAAAATTGCAAATGGTCTTAAATTGATAAAATCTCTTGTAAAATTGTTATAATTGGACATTTATTGTTTTTTAAAATAGATTTTTATTGTGGATTTCTTTTACTTGGTGTTATATTTGTTTACAGGATGTTTAAGTATTTTCATCCTTTGAAATTGTTATCATCTTCAACAAAGATACATGTATACGCTTGTGGTTTTAGTGAACAGTGAGACACTTACCAATAAAAAAGCTTCGTTTAAAAAACGGAAAATGCTTCATAATATCCATATAAAGCATCCACTATGTTAAAACCTCTTAAGAGGGGTGTTTTATTTTTCTTCATGAATCATCTATAGAATATAGCAAGTCCTTCAGCAGCTACAGAGAAGAGAGGCCTATATGTGCATTGGTGTTCTTCTTGCACCCCTTGAAGTATATATTTTTTCAAGCACTTCTACATGTATATACGACAGTTAAATATTCCAAGCAATGTAAGAACTGAAGAATCAGATAACAATTTTACCACTTTCAACTATCAGAATTGAAATATACGAGTGCAACTGCCACTTTCAATTTCAAAATACAAAATATTTAAAACAAAATTTGTAGCTGGGGATTTGAACTGACTTATTAATGTTGTTGAGGGTATACCTTATGTATCAAACTAAGTAATATTTGATGCGTAAAAATAACTCAATTCATGGTGTAAGATGATGAAACGTACAGCAATAACAAGAAATCTTTAAAGGGACATGGCATCTCAATAACATGATTTATTGAATGTTTCCTAAAAGACTCAAGAACACTTCCAAGTGATAGGGTTAACGCTAGTTTGTTAAATATATACTGATTAAAATACAGTTTAAGAGCACTCATTCTCACATATGCAGAAAGCAAGCTGACACATTATATTTGAAATACCTCCAATTGTTTTTTTTTATCAAGAGGCCCATGAGCCACAACACTCCCCTATGGTACCTTGGTACTGCTATTTTTTTTTTCCAGATTTTTAAAGATTTTTACTTCTCTTTATTCCCAGGAAAATAATCTGACCCAATATTGCGCCGCACCCTGAGGCCAAAAGGTCATGTTAATTTTAACCAAACTTGATTCAACACATGTTGATGCTTCAATATTAATATGACTGACATGGCTTTGCTGTTCTGAAGGAAAGGCTTTTCTAGTTTTTCTTCTCTGTGTATATGCATCCTTCTAGGGTCCATAAATAAAAAAAAGAAAATTGAAAAAACAACTTGGGAATCAATATTTGGTGTGGTCCTACTACTCTTCGAGAGATTTATATATATATATATATATATATATATATATATATATATATATATATATATATATATATATATATATATATATATATATACCAATGTAAACTTTTATTCCCTATTGTGTCCCACTCTAACGCCCTCCGGGGCATTGATTTTAAGAAGCATGAATCTACACTACCTGAAGATGCTTGCATAATTATTACAGCTGTACAATGCCTAATCATGACCTTGCCGTTTGTGAAAAGAAGACATTTACATATAGATTCCCACACCCCGAATCTTGATTCCAACAAATTTGAATCTGCATGTCCAGATTACGCTTTTATATTAACTAAACTAATCACAGGTTGCTGTACTTCAGAAGAATTTGTTTATAAGATATTTTCCTATATTTTCCCCATATAAAAATTTACTTCCCTATTATGGCTCATGCCATGTGGTAAGTGCAAGGTTTCAACAAAACTGTACGCTATCTGAGGATGCTTTTAAATAAATATGACAAATCATGATCTAGCGTTCTTGAGAAATACTAGTAGATTTTTCCCTACTATATTCCAATGTACAACTGATTCCCTTTTGTAGCTACACCCTACCCCTGAGGGCCATACTATCTGCACTATCTGGGGATACTTTTGTATTGATTTGACTGATCATTCATGACTCTGCTGTTCTTTAAAGATTTTTAAAGATGTGTTTTCCTTAATATTTCTATGTAAAACTTTTATTCCCTCGCCCTGCCCCGAGGCCATGATTTGAACAAATTAGAATCTGCACAACCTGAGGATGCTTGAATCTCAATATAACTAATCATTGATTTCCCTTTTTGGAAGATTCTTTAAAAAACAAAATTTCAAATATTTCTATGTCACGGCCAGGAACACGTTAAGTTCCTAGACAGTACCGTTGTCAGAAACCTTTAAAGTTAAGCACTGAAACTGGTTCGTCGTCATGAACATACAGGTGAGGTTATGATAAAATCCGTCCGGTGTCATGCAAAGGATACAAGAATTTATACATAATGCCTAAAATTTAACGTTTTTGACAAATTTGAATATTGGGAAACAGATACAACATTCAGTGTTCCATACACAGATTTATGTATTTGATATCCACAATACATTTTGAGGAGTTTGGGTTGGCTTCACACATGCCCATATGTGAAGCCATGATTGTGAGCTGGAAAATTATATACTTCTTATATTTAATTCGTCGAAATGGTTCTTTCATTTTAAAATATGAAGAGAAACTTCGTTTTAAATTTATTAGGCAACAGACAGCCTTTTGTAGCTAACATGTTTTAAGAAATCGCAATTTATAAGTAAAAAGTCCGTTGTCAGTACATGTTGAGTTTATCTGGTCCGGTGTCATTTTTCTTAACATGTAAGTAAATCAATAAAATGCAATAGAAATGATCAAACATATGCTTAATTTAAAAGAATACAAAGCATATTACAGATAATTTTGAATCTCGGGGTCGTCTTAAAGCAGCTCACACGAACGTGCTAACTATTCTGCGATGTTTTTATGTTCAATTCATTTTCTCTTAGGAACCTGCATCCTAGTATGCAAACATGTACAATTCCTTGTATATCATCAGTATAACAAAATTAAAATGTTATGCTCTGGTCACATATAAGTCGATGATCGGGCGACCAAATTATTTTCGTATCGTCGTCTGGAAAAACATCATCGGCCAACACTAGTATCGGGCGACGCAAAGTAGTCATATTAATTCCTAGGAACACCGATGCCTTTAAAAGTAAAAACATTTATAAGCTGGCCAACCGTCGCCCGATCATCGTTCGCTAGTCCGCAGTTTGATTTTCGTCTTTGGCCGACAGTTGTACGAAAACCCTATTCCTAAATGTCGGCCTACTGACGACCGACTTTAAAAACTGTATGCCGATGGTCGGCCGATGATCGAAGGTTGGTGGACAGACTATTCAATAAGTGCTTCAATTGAATCGGCCAAGGACGCAAAAAAAATTTAACTTGACCCTACTGACATGCTTAAAATTGGTCGGCCAACGAGCAAGACAACGGCCGATAATATGAAACTTATGTGGAAGCATCCTCGGGTAGTGTAGATTCAAGTTTGTTCAAATCATGACCCCCGGGGGTGGGACATCACTGTGCTATCAAAATTTTTACATAGGATAACATAGGGAAAATCTTTAAAAATCTTCTTCTCAAGAACAGCAAAGCCATGATTGGTCATATTTTTATGGAAGCATCCTCAGGTAGTGTAGATTCAAGTTTATTCAAATCAAGAACCCCCGGGGGTAGGATGGCGATCAAAGTTTAACATAATAATACATATGGGAAATCTTTAAAAATCTTATTCTCAAGAACAGCAAAAACGTGATTAAAAGCACCCTCAGGTAATGTAGATTCAAATTTGTTCAAATCATGACCCCACAGGAGTACAGAGGGGCCAAACAGGGGATCATAGTCAAACAATGGATTATAAAGGATATATCAATAAAAATTTCTTCTTTAGAATACAAAGCCATTATAAGTCATATTAATTCAAAAGCATCTTAAGGTGGTGTAGATTCAAGTTTGTTCAAATCATAACCCCCCCCCCTTTTAATATTTAAACTTTTGAATACTGAACTGATTTCTGCTATTTCCGAACCAAAGTGCTCAGGTGAGCGATGTGGCCCATGGGCCTCTTGTTTTTGGTGGATTTGTGAATGTAATTGGTGTGTAACCCACATTGATGTATCTCGTATGCTATTTCATGCAGCGACCCTGATTGTGACGCTATACATTTTGTCGTCCTGTTCGTATTGTCGCCGGCGACAATGTGTACACACACTCACTGTGCAGATTGTCATCCATCAGTACATGCCGCATGACAATGCATATGTTTCCATACAGATATGGCTAATCATCGTTTTGCTGTTGTTGAGAAGAAAAAGGTTAAAAGGATTTTCATATATATTCCTGTGTAAAACTTTGACCGCCCTTTGTGGCTCCAACCTTGGTCCGGGGGTTATGATTTGGAGAAACTTGAATCAACACTATCTGAGGATGCTTCCATGTAAACATCGCTAATCACCGGCCTACTGCTGTTCTCAATATTTGATCCAAAAATTTCAGAACGGGGGAGGGGGTGCGTTTCAGATTTTTTTTTTTTTTTGACATTAAGCAAAAAAAAAGTTTGTGTGTAAAGGAGTGTTACTGTATAAGTTTTACCTGTGGACGAAATTGAGAGTATATATAGGTTAAAAAACAGAATTTACAAAAGCAAAGAAAAGAAGAAAAAAGTCGTGCCAGAATCTACAAAATTAAAAGTACACTATGTACTTTCACATAAGTATCATCTCTTCTGATCCAGAAGTTCTTGAGAATAAAATTTTGAAAGAATTATTCTTAAATATTCTATTAAAACTTTAATCACCTATTGTAGCCCCACCCTTCCCCAGACATGATCTGAATAAAAATGAATCTACACTTTATAATAAAGCTTTCACATAAGTTTCAACTTTTCTGACACAATGGCTCTTGGGAAGATTATTTAAAGATGTCAATAAAATTTCACTAATTCTTAACTATACTTCCTTGAAAGAGGGCATGACCATTAATTTGAACAAACTTAACTCCCTTTATCCACGTTTGCTTTCTGGAAACTTCGGTTGAAATTGAAATTGGCCAGTAGTTCCTGAGAAGAAGCTGAAAATGTGAAAAGTTTACCGACAGACAGACGGACGACACAAAAAATGTGATCAGAAAAGCTCACTAGAGCTATCAGCTCAAGTGAGTTAAAAATGTCAACCCCTACACCAATTATATCGGCACTCGTATGAGAATTAAGCAAAAAAACAAAAAACAAAAAAAGAATTCCAGATAACATTACTAATGAACAAATAACTTTCAATCTCATATCCATGTA